ATTAAAGGAAAAACTACAGGTTAACAATATATTACTGCTAGGGCTTTGTATTTGGACCTCTTGATTCTTTCTATTTTGGCATCTTTAATGCTTCTGCATATATGTTCTACTTCTTTTATATTGATATTTGCCAACAGGCCCAAATCATTAGGTAGTTTACTGTCTTTAAATCCTTTTCTGTCCAAGAGCTTTTTGTGTTTTTAACTTCTGCTCTTGCTTGACTTGTGTTTTTGTATTCTTCTTCTTTTCTTTCTCTATTTTTAACATTTGACTCTTTTGTTTTCTTGTTCTTCTTTGCTTCTGTTTGTCTTGTATTTCCTTCTTTTCTTCTCTTAGTATTATGCTCCTCTTACTGTTCTGTATCTTGCATTTTGTTTTTGGATTCTTCTAGTATGAGTTTTAGCCATTCTTCTTCTTTTCTTTTAATTCTGTCCATTGCTGTATCTCTGCTATGCTCATAGTTAAAATCTACTTCTATCCAATTATTTCCATTTTTGAATACTTTTTTGACTGTTTTAATGTGATGGTTTTTCTCAAGAATCCACTGGACGTACTTTATTCTTTCTTCTTTGGTTTCCTTTGGCAAAGCATATATCAGCATATTTGCTTTATAGAACCTATTTTTATTACATATTCAATTATCTGGGAACCATCGACTATGTTTAATTGTCCCTATGAAAAATATTGTTTCATCATCTTTATTGTTCATTTCTTCTTCTTGTTCTACTATTTCTATGTCCACGATTTCTAGATTTGTCTCTTTGCTTTCTGTTGATATTTCTTTTTTGAATTCTAAATTACTTGTGACTTGATTTGTTTGGTATTGAGATGTAGTGATGCTAAGCACTTTCATTTGCTTTTCTAGTATTTCTAATCTCTGCTCTAACTCTTCAGAATTGTTTCTTTTTTCTTGGCTCTGTTCTCTTTAGATAGATTTTTCTGCTTTGTTAGATTCAACTAACATACTTACCTTATCTTTTTTGTTTTTCTCTTGATAAGCTTCTCTTCTTTCTATATTTGTGTCATATTTAAATAAGCTTAGGTTGTAGCTTATTGCTCCTAGCTTTTCTGTCCACTTGTCAATTATTCCTTTCTTAAGTCAGCTTATCTCTGCTATTCTTAAGACTTCTAAAACTTGACCATAAATTAGCAAGTCTTATGGCATAATATGTTTTGGATTGTAGATGCTAGATCTTTTGCAATGTGTTCTATATTGCTTGGGCCTTTTGTTGATGTTTTAAGTACTTGGTCTAATATTTTGTAATCAACATATCTGTGATTTCTGTCTTCTATATCTTTAATATGCTCTATAATATCTTTGTTATGTATTTTGGTCATTGGTTGTTTTAGTTTGGTTGTTGTTATGTCACGTGCCTATTCTAGTAAACTACTTTACTACATGTGTTTGTTTGTTTACTTTACTTATTTTTTGTGTTTTTCATGTAACCTAATTGATTTTCACAATAGGGTCACAAAGATTTCCCAAAAATTTTTACAAAAAATTTATTTTCATTAGAATTTTTCTAAATTTTCCAGGCTGTGCTACTTTTAAGCTTTTCTATTTGTGTCTTTGTTCTTTAGCTAGATGTAACTTTTGCTGCTCTTCCTTTTTTGTTAAGGGTCTAAGTGATGTTTTCTAGCAGATTTTATGGTTTTCTGTATTTTGTTTTTTAACAATTTTTGGTCGAGGGATCTGATAAAAATTTTTAAATATAATCTTTAAAATTTTAATACATAAAAATTTATTAATATTTTGAAAAAAGTTTTATAATAAAGTTTATAAAATATGTTTTTAAGAATATATTTCATAAGCAAAATATATTCTATATTGTTAATAAATTATTATTTTATTTAAATAATACTAAATATAATTTAATTTTTTAAGCAAATTTGTCTAAAATATAGTTTAAGAGATATATATAACTTTTCTATATTATCTATTTAAGAAGTCTGACTAGAGATTTCTCACCAATTGCTGTATCTAATATTTCTGCTTAGATGTTTTATTTAAATTCTTTGATTTGCTTCTGATATTAATTTTATCAAGTTATTTAATCTAAATTATTTCATCTTAATCTTAGAATTATAATTTTTAGACTATTTTTATTTTCAAGATAAAACTATTAAAACAAGTCATATTTTCTTTTATTATTAACCTAATTTGACACTATAGCTGAGACTAATATTTGCAATCAGAATTATTTATTAAACTATTTTTATTCTTATAAAGTTTATTCAAATCCTGGTATTCATTTTTCTAATATCTTTTCTATCATTCTCTATTAACCATAGCTCAGAACTATATAACAGACTTTTCAAACTTTTAATCCAGATGACCTGATATAGTATACTTATTATCCTTTTCTTCTGATAAATCTAACTGCTTAATTAGTTATATGTTCTTCTATATATTTTATTATTTAGTTTATTTAATAATTTCTATAAAGGTGTTTTATAAACTTCTATTAGTTTAATAGTATTATCAAAAATTTATATTATCTCTTTATTTAGAATTTTTAAGTAGATTTTTATCTTCTTGGTTTTTTTATCTTTTATACTCAATGATCTTATCATGAGTTTGTACTAAAACCTTATATAACACCAGTTTTTTATATTTCTCTATATATATATAATGTTATACTTTATATAAGTACCCTGAGTTCCCAATGTTAGATGAAACTTGACTTGATATATCTAAGATTACAGATGCCTAAAACCTAACTGATTGACAAGAAATAGTTATCATAACACAGATATAATTTCCAAAATTGTCATTTATGAGAATTGAACCTTAGATCTGCCACTTAAAAGTTAACAATCTATCTACTTTATTAGATTACCACATTTTATTAATAATTATCTTTATAATTAGTAATTGATATTTATTCTATATAAAATTGTAAGTAAAAATATTATTTTTAAAAATGTTATATTGATATTAAATCTAATTCTTAAGATTATTATAGTTTTTAACTTTAATTTTAATAAATATAGTTTAAGTTATAATTTTGTTATACAGTCATTCTCCCATATAATCACACAGTTGGACACATAGTAATTTTTTTAAAAAATGTACTTATAAAGAAATTGTGCTTATATGGAGAGCTATTTCTTATAAATTAAATCGTAGCTTAGCCTAAACGTAAATGTGATTACATATAAGGTGATTATATCGAAGGTGACTATATGGAGGGACGACTGTAGTTTAAGTTATAGTTAAGCTATAGTTTAAACTATAGTTAAGTTATAATTTAAGTTATGGTTTAAATTATAGTTTAAATTATCTTATTTCTACACTTGATTCTACTTAATTCCAAACTTTTATATGAAGTTAACCATTCAAAAAACAAATTTCAAAATATTGCTACTTTAAGTTAAAATTTTCTATTATAAAAACTCATGTAAAAATATTTTGTCAATATAAAATTATTCAATCAAACCGAATTTTCATTATGCTTAAAAATTGATCTACATTAAATGTCTGCACTAAAATAAACAATTGGCAAACCCTATTCTAAAACCAGATTCTACGGTTCTGAACCTAAGAACTTTACACTTGTAAATAGATTTAAGAAAAATGTATAAACAACTGAACTTTATTTCATAATAATGATTGTTAATAAGTAAATGTTTTTTTTTTAGATATGTATGTTAATAACAGGTGAGATATTTTAAAGAAATTTTGTATGACCAATACTATTACAACTAAGCATTTATTTTAAACATTTGTTACTATATACTATTATATATAGTAATATAGTAATAATATCGAAAAATACCTATTTACAGTGATGAATAACCATGTTCTATTTCTATATAAAATAAATAGAACAAGGAAAAAATATTCTTGCCTAATGAAGATTCAGATTCTTTGTTAATAAAAAAAAAACTAAAATCGTACAAGGAAATAAATTAGTATAAAAAACGGCCGAAACATATAAATGGACATGAATAAGACTATCGTTATGCACAATTAACAAGCCTACAGCTATTTTCATAAATTCTGGGATAAACTAAAAATTTGTCCGTACGTATCATAGAATTTCTTAATTTCTTATCACTATAAATCTATCTCATCACTAAATCTATCTCACCGGAAATTACATTGCAGTCTCCGGGATACGGTTTCGATGATAGCGTAGTCTCTGAAGAGTTAAACGAATCTTAAGAAACTGTATAAACCTCGGAATACGAATAAATTTTTAGTTTTGTATCAAAAGTTATACACATTTTTGACTAGTATTTATTTGTATTTATTTAAAGAAAAGGAAAATTGGTTCGGTCTAACATGATATTAAATTATATATGAGGAGTTGTCTAAATGGATCGACCGCCGCTCATACGAAGTCGAAAATTAACTATGATATGTGTCCACTCCTTTTTTGCAAATAGCGAGTCTGATAGTGATATCACTCGCTATATAAAGCACTTCGTACGTACGTACATTCCGAACACCAAACGCCAAGAAATAATATCAATTTTCCTTCACGTGATGACGAAATCAATTAGTCATGATCTAAAATAGGTTTAGGGCGTGACGATAAGAAAGATGTCAAATAAGCATGTTTTCTGTCCGAAGCATGGCCGAGGAATCTGTGCCCCGAACCCTATCCATCATGCATTCATGCATTCAATAATAGTAAATGTCGATCGTGTCAATAAGTGGTAGGTGTGCATATAAAAGGTTTTCCATTGGTAAAATACTTGTACCACAAAAAACATTTTTGTGTCTAACAATAATAAAATAAGTTTTCCAAAAACTAACAAATTTTTTCCTCACGTCTTCTTTTCTTTCTAAAGAGATGTTTATTAATGGTATCGATGATATCAATAGATCGATTAGTAACGTTTATTTTAAATTTTGATCAATGCTAATATTTAGTCTATAACGCATATACAATATAATAAAGTTAACACAACTATTCAGATTCAATTTCTGAAAATTTTGACCAATTCTTTAAATTATCTCTAACAAAAAAAAATAAATAAATAAATAAAAGATGGGTGTTGTTCTTAAAAAACCCTCATCATCTAATTCCGTTCTCACATCAACACCCTCAACAACATCACCTACTCTTAGGCAATCCATAAATTCTTTTTTGAGTCTTGACTATGATTTCTGTCGTCGCACTTACTGGCTATGTTCTGAATGCGGAAATCCGAGAACTGGTTATAGTTGGTGTCAAGCTTGCGAATCCAACCGTTTCGAATCCGAATTCCCGCATTGGACTAGCGGTAATATCGATATTGATGACTTCATAAGGCAATCACAAAAAAATGCATACACAGCACAAGATTATTTGGAATGGATACCTTATGAACGTTTTGTGGAGGTCAAATATTTAGCTAACGGAGGATATGGAGATGTGTATACAGCTTATTGGAAAGAAGGTCCAAGGTGGGCATGGAATGAGCAAAAAATGGAGAGAGTGAGAACGGGTCCGAGAAAGGTTGTACTAAAAAGTTTGACTAATTCCCAAGAAATTACATTGGATTTTTTGAACGAGGTAATGTTTTTAAATAATATAAATTTTTTAATGTTATCTTTTTAAGTCATAATTTAAAATTTCAGTGTCTCTTAATATAGTTAGCATTACACCATATCTGTAATTCAAACGGTCATGTAATATTCTGTTATGGTGTCTCTCAAGATCCAACCACTAAAAACTATTTACTCGTAATGGATTATGCTAAAAGCTTTTATAAACATGTGATCAAACCTTCACAACATATATCATGGAAAAAAAAATTAGAGATACTTTATGACCTCATAATAGCTCTTGCGTCGTTACACAGTAAAAATATAGTTCATAGAAATTTTCATCCTGGTAATATATTTTTGGATACCAAACACCCAGGATTTACTTGTATTTCGGATATAGGTCAATATTTTCCGCCGAATAAATCTTATGACAATAATGGTATATATGGAGTTTTGCCATATGTTTCACCTGAGATATTATTAGGATCTGATTATTCGACAGCGTCGGATATATACTGTTTTGGAATGATAATGTGGAGCATTTCTACCGGAAGACGTCCTTTTGATGATAGACCACATGACCAAACATTAGCTTTAGATATTTGTAATAATTTGAGACCTAAAGCTGTAAAAGGAACTCCACCATCATTTGTCAAATTGATGAAACGATGTTGGGATTCAAATCCGGAAAAACGCCCAGATTCAACTGTGGTTGCAGATATCTTGGAAGATTGGTTGGATCAATTAATGAATGAAAATGGTAATGAATCAACGATTAGAAAAGAATTCTCATTGGCTGAGGAACAGAGAAAAAAAGGTAATGGATATGTGTCATCATCAACGGTACATCCGATGTCTATATATACGAGTAGATTACTGGATTTTCCAAACCTGAATGTGAAATTGAATAAATCATAACATCATAGTATAAGGTTATTTGCGTTTATTATATTCTTTCATTTTTAATACTAATTCAATGGAGATAAGGAATAGAATATTTTAAATTAGTGCACTATAGACGTATTTTCTAATGAATTAAGGAAATTTTCGTTTTTAAAGTTTTTAGCTTTGATATTAGAATAATAAGATTTACGTCCAATATCTTCCCCAAATAATATCTATAATGAAATGCAATTTTCGAATTTAAGTTTTATACATTTTTGTTTAGATTATTATAACATGTATATATATTACAAATCATTATTTTCAATTATTTCGATCAATTTTGTCAAGTTACAAATGGTGGCAAGGTTTTATTTAGTTGAATAAAAATTTACAGCTTTATCATGCATACCAATCCTGTAGTTGTTTCGCTTTCCTTTTTCTCTTAATAGATTCACATGAGCAACATTCGAAAATCAGATCCTTAAAAATAGCACGCGTATTTATAACAAGTGTTATTGTCCACCTTGTGGATAATAACTGATTTATTCAACGGTTCTTATTATACTTCTATACTATTTTTAAAAATTATTAAATTACAAGGATTCTTTTTTCCTTTTTTAACCAATAATTTTATTTTCGTTAGCAATTCTACCGATTTAAAAGTTCGTAATAATCGTTACAGTTGTTTTCATTATTTTTGAGACATCTGGTAAAAAAATTGACCGAATTATTGTTTGGCCGATTCGATAAGGTTTTGATTTCGGTAATGATCGATTATGTATCTCTGCTAAATGATAGAGAAAACTTGTAAGTATCGGGCTTTACGATAAGTGTTGATCAAATATTACAGTTTGAGTGTCGTCAAGGGAAGCCTGTCATCGGGCTTTCAATTATATTTGTATAGTTTGTTAAGGATACAAAATATAATATTAAATATGATACTTAAAGATTTTTCCTGTACAGCGCTCATATTTCACATTTAACTCATTTAACTGCGGTCATTTCAGACAGGATCTTTAGTCGTCAAATCCATTGTATCAATACTCTCATCTATTTCTTACTAGTTTTATTTTGACTTATATTTTGTATTAATCATTATAAATAAAATATTTATTTGATTATAATTCTTAGTACGGTTTTGACAAAGGTTAATAAAATCTTGGTTGTTTAGAATAATAACTTGCGTTATATTTTTTGTTTTTTTTAAGCTACTAATCAATTATTGTTCATATTGAACTTTTTTTCATTAGCTCCTGTTCGTACTTATATTCGACCGGTCAATTTTTGCCAGATTTTCCAGAATTTATGAAAACAGCTATCTGTAAATCAAAAGTTTATCTCGAATCGACAAATATCAGATGTCCCAAAACAGCTGTAAAAGAAAGATTCCGATCAGCCCGAATCCGTGATCCGGGAAATAACCATAAATAAGAATTGGGGAATAAGTATAATACCGATACTCATAAGTAGAAGTTTGTCTGATTGGCTAATAAATTCAATTGAATTTTATATTATTTATACAGTTTAGAGTACTTTTTAAAAAAACGAAAACCAACCATAATAAAGTGAAAAAAAACCATATAGAAGGTTTCATTAGAACTGTGGGACTTCATAGCCAAAAATAAGATCTAATTCTCGTCCGTTTAAAAAAGTTAGTATAGTAATAACTTCTCAAAACCCGATAAAATCAACTTATTACTAAGTTAATTTTTTTAAACAGACGAGAATTAGATCTTATTTTTAACTATGGAGTCCTACAGCTCTAATGGAACCTTCTATATGTTTTTTTTTACTTTATTATGGTTAGTTTTCGGTTTTTTAAAAAGTACTCTAAACTGTATAAATAATATAAAATTAAATTGAATTTCTGTCTATGATACCGATACTGGTAATTTGGCAAATGAGCACGTGCCGTGAAGCAGCATCAAATGATCTCATATGGGCTAATCGGACTCATTTGTGTGATATTTGAATGTGATCTTCCGAATTTGTACAACAGGCTGTACCAATTAGATCTATCGATGTGATAATTAAGATTTTGGCGTACACAAAAATATCCAAACAATCGTTCTTTCTAGAAAAATGTCGTTTCTTTCAGCCTATCAAAAAACACAAATAATAGGTTTGCAATGAGTTGTCAATGAGTTGGCAATGAGTTGTCAATGAGTTGGTAATGAGACTTTGCCGACACCAGTAGGTGTTAAGACAACATCTGCATATACTTAATAATTATCGTTTTATAACGTTCTAATACTTACTTTTATATAAAGTTTTGTTTTAAGCATCGTTTGAACTGTGTATATTGAAAAGTGAACAAAACAATAAAACAATAATTTGTTTTTTCTTTTTTTTTCTTTTTTTAATAAAAAAAAACTTTCCTAATTAAAAAAAAAAAAAAAAAAAAAAGATTGAATCAAAAACTCAAAATTCTTTCTCAGCTCGCTATCTTCTTCAAGAGGTTTGCCAGCAAGATAACATATGAACAAACAGTCTAGAAATGATTGATGATTATCCAAACATACATGTAACATAATTTATTGGAAATAAAAAGGAACAGTATCTTTATAAGATTTTACATCTTGGTTTTTATCCGCAGCAAGTAAAGTGAACTTAATGAAGTGGTTATCCAATTTCTAATGGATATATGGTTGGTATGAAGGTTTATGGTGTAGATTTGGTTGCAGAAACTTGTTATAATTCTTGTAAGAAGGTTATGTATACAATTACTTGGGATAATTCTGATGGAAAAAAACAGTCAGTTTCAAGTAATAAATCTGCTAGTAATGCTTCAGCATTATTTTTGCAGGTTGTAATTAATTAATAACATTATAATAAATTATCAATGTTTTATATATATTATATACTTATATGTGTGATATATTTAATAAAATAGAAATTAAAAGGTCATGGTAACTTGCAATTTTCAGGAGTTATACTTTTTGGATTCGACCTAGAGTGTTTAGAAAAATAAAGAAACCAAGGGCAGAATTTTTCAAAGATTCAATCACGGAAAAAACCATTTCATGAACTTCAATCTGAATTATAAAAAAATAAATGTCTTAGAGTCTTGACTTATGATATTTGTGATGGGGTCGAATCTGCAATCCAATTACATAATTTTTATGATACAGTGTAAAGATCAATAGATTTGGATGAAAATGGATTGCATGTTAATTTTAAAAATTTAGATTCTGAATAATATAATTCAAGTCAAATTTTAGATTCAATTGTTTGTACTTGTGACAAGCAATTAATTTCTCATAATGTATATCATCAGCTTGTAGCTATTATACCTGAAATGGTGCATGGTTACAAAATTGATAAACATTAGCAAGAAATAACAAGAATTATGGAAAGTATAATTCCAGTTCACACGATACAAATTAATTCTGTAACGAATGAGTTTTACAGATCATTTAAGGATATATTACTTGTAATAATTTCTAAACTAGCATATAAAGAATTGTCAGTATTATAAGTAGAAGACATTGTACATATTAAATTAAGTGGAGATAGACAACAAGTTGGTAAATTTCATAATCATGTAATGCTTACTGTATGTATATTAAATGAACAAGAAGAAGTTTTATGTCCATCAAATCAACATTGTATATTTCTTTAGAACAGGACAGAACAATATAAATCTCTTCAAAAAGCTTTTAGTTTTTTAGTTAATGAATTGTTAACTTTACAAAAGGAAGGAATCGTTGACCCGAATAACAATTATTGGCAAATTGAATTTTGGTTTAGCTTTGATTGAAAATTTATGTCATTAGTTCTTGGCATTAAAGAACCAACAGCACATTATTTTTGTTTGTATTGTAACTGTCAAAATGCAGACTGTTGAAATGTAGATATTGATTATAAAAATTCATATAATTCTAAAGGACAAAAAAATTTAAATATTTTATTATTTTTAAATGACCAACACTGCATACCTGATGAATTACATTTAATGCTAAGAATTACTAATATTTTATTCAAATGTCTTTTTTTTGAATTATCAATTAAACCTATATTTAATAAGCGATCAACAAATAATAATGAAACAATTTAAGAACAAATAGAATTAATCATTCATTCTATAGGCGTTAATATTTTAAATTCAAAGAACCTGAAACATCAAAAAGTAAATGGTGCTGGATGTCATTAATGGGACCAAATAAGTTAATAATTTTAAAAAAATTTCCTATTAACTTATTTATTTCAGATTAACAAGGTCAAGACATACAAAAACTTTGGTATGACTTTTATTTTTTATATAAAACAATGCGCAGAATTGACTTAACTGATGAAGATATTCTTAATTTTGAATTATTAGCATGACAATGGGTTAAGGATTTTTGTAATTGTTATGAAGAAAGAAAAATTATTACAAGAAGGATTATACTAACATAATAATGTTACCTCATATATGCATGTACTCACATGCTACATTCCAAAATTTATGAAATTTCTCAAAACAAAAAATTTATATTTATGATGGTTTTCATCTTTAGGTGTTGAGAAGAAGAACTATGACCATGTACAATTATTTTATAATGGTACTATGATGGGTGGTGGTAATTTTTCAAAATCTGTAGCTTATAAGATATGTTCATATGAAAATCGTCAGCTTTACTATTATATTAATGAAACATCTTTAAATTGTACTGTAATAAAATTTACTAAAAACTATCAAGCTGTAGCAAATTTTAAAGTGATGAAGGTCAAATGGAAGATCTTTTATTTAAAGGAAAATAAAATAAAAGAAAAGGAGAAATATAAAAATAAATAAAATAAATAAAAATAACTAAAAATAAAGAATAAATATTTAAAAATGGAATTTAAATTCAATAGCCTCCTAGA